GGACAAAACAGGTACATACTTTTTTGGGGTATAAGTAGAGTATAAAAAGGCATATACTTTTTTGGGGGGTATAAGTAGCGATAAGAGGAACCCAGAAAGTGCTCCAAACCCAGTGAATTGTCCCTAAACGGAGAGGCCACTAGAAGGGACCCATAATCATATTCCCCCCTGCCTATATAAGACCGTTTTGTACCTAAGTAGCCTCTACATTACCCCTGAGGTCCCTTATAAGGGTCCCTCCTCTAGTCCCTTGAAAGCCCTGACCCGAAACCCTACACCAACCCCGAGATGCGGCTCGGGGCAGCCATAGGGTCCTCATGACAAACCCTATAGGCCCTGTAGACCGCAAGCAGCGTAAGCCCTAGAAACCCTAAACCCTAAACCCTAAACCCTAAACCCTAAACCCTAAACCCTAAACCCTAAACCCTAAACCCTTCCAGGTTCATTGGCCTTCGTCAGCAGCGCAGGTCCCATGACATTGGTGGCCAGAACCTTGCAAGCCAGGTTCCCAAGACTTATAGGCTGTAGTTTGGGGTCTTAGCATTTAGGGATATTTAGGATTTAGGGTTTACTTAGGGCTTATTTCGGGTATCGGGTTTAGCTAGGGTTTAGGGTTTATGGATGAGGGTCTTAAACTCAAGCTGTGACGGGGGAAGCTATGTACCTCGACCCGCAAGTGGTCCTCATGGGGGGGGGGGGGGGGGGGGGGTTGGGGGAGAACCCTAAACCCCAAGTCCGAAACCCGTGCGTGACAAAGGCAAGAGTCACCCGTTTAGTGCAGCAAGGATAGTGAACCGATCGAAAATGTTGCTCTTAACGTGCTGCAGAACCTACCAGCCTCGATATAGCTGTACACACGCTGACATGCTGACGTCGGTAACTTCTGGACTTGAAGATCGCTCTGAGGCATGCGATATCGCTGTACACATGGGGGATTTCGGGAAGTCGGGGGGGAAGGGGTACCCCTTGTATGCCCCAAAATGCTAGATCCTTTCAACACAACCCCCAAAGGGTAACGCAACTTTCGAAACCCCTCCCCAGATCTTGATTGCGGGTGAACTTCTTGACTTACGTGCCAGTCCTTCGTGCTGGAGCTAGGAGTTTAGGATCTATGGGCTTCAAGGTTGGGAATTTTGGGCCTGAGCACTTGGAGTCGAAGGGTTTAGGGTTTAGGGTTTAGGGTTTAGGGCAGAAGAGTTTTAGGGTTCAAGCTTCAACCTCCAGCGCTGCCGTGGCACTGCGGCGAAGGAAGCTTGATCCAATCTCCTTAGATGTCATTCCATGAAACCCTAAACCCTACACCCTAGACCCTAAACCCTAAACCCTAAACCTTTCAGGGTTCGGGTCCCAGGCTTCCTGTACTTGGAGGTTCATGGTACTTACCAACCCAATTATAACTGCACTTATAACCCTATTGCAATCATTTTAGTGTACTTAAAGGGCTTCTAAGCGGGTGAAAATTGCAGTTGTAATTGGGCTATAAGTACCATGAACCTCGCCAAGTAGCCTGCAAACGAGACCTCTAGGGCTTTGGGTGCAAACGCTGAGCTTCGCCAGTTTCGTGAGGGCTTAGGGTTTCACACTGAACCCCCAAACCCGAAACCCTGAACAAAACCCCAAACCCCAAACCCCAAACCCCTAAACCCCAAACCCAAACCCCAACCGAAACCCATCGGTTTGCCAGCCAGGCTTCGTAATGGAATTCTCTCCGCGCCCGTTGGGATGCATGATTCCGGCCTCACACGCTACCCATCCTCGGACAAAGCCCCAAAAGCCAAAACCAGAAGCCCTAATTACATCATATCCTCAACCCTAAGGTTTAGGGTTTAGGGTAAGGCCCAAGCCTCTGTAGACCTCGGCTCTTCAAAACGAACACTGCAACACTGGAGTCACAAGGGCGAAATAGCCGATCTGTTTCTGCAGGCCCAAGGCAAGCAAGACCCGGATGTCCCTAAATCCAAAACCCTAAACCCTAAACCCTAACCCTAAGCCCTTCACCCCTAAGACCCTACACCCCTAAAACCCTAAACCCTAAACATCCGCAAGCAGACCCCCTTTGAGCGTTTCAACCTCAAGGCTTGCGATCTATGAGGGACTTCGGGAAGCAGGTGCCCTTTATATCATCCCCCAAAAGGCACATCTTATACCCTAACCCTGATGTAAAGCCGCAAGCGGCCGCAAGCCCTCAACCCTCAATCTAAACCCTACACTCAGGGATTAGGGTTTCGGCTTAGGAGCGCGCACTCCCCCTCCCATTCATTGCCCGGTCTGGGGCCGACACGCTGTGAATGAGCAGTCTAAGGTTCGCACCTGAGCCAAAAAGGTTTAGGGTTTAGGGTTTAGGGTTTAGGGTTTAGGGTTTAGGGTTTAGGGTTTAGGGCAGCTTCCGGATACTTTCAGGCAGGGAACCTTCGATACAAGGGCTACATGCAAGAAGCGGCCAACTTGGAAGATACCAGTGGCGGGAGCTGAAAAAAAAATCAGCTCACAGCCTTGCCTCTGCGCTTGGCAAGTTCTAGAGAACGTGGCGATGGGTTCAGGGTTCAGGGTTCAGGGTTCAGGGTTCAGGGCTTAGGATTAAGTGGTCGCATTGTGATTGGAGCTCAAGACAAAGACCATGGTTCCTCCAATTTTTTAGCCCCCGAGGCCCCCGCAAAAACCCTAAACCACGAAACCCCTATACCCCTAAAACCGCTAAACCCCTGAACCCCTAAAAGCCCAAAACGCTAGGACCGCAAACCCTAAAACCCTAAAGCCGCCAACCCCTAAAACCCAAAACCCTCAATACCCTGTACCCATAAACACAAAGCACCTAATCCCCTAAACCCCGAATACCCCAAAACCCTGAACCCCTAGCCCCTACATTCGAAAACCTAGACCCCTTAAACCCCCAAAACCCATAACGTCCGAACAATAAACCCCTGAACACCCCGAACACCCTAAAGCCACTAAACTCTAACCCCCTAAGCTTCTAAAGCCCCAAAGCCCCTAGGATCCCCAGCAACCTAGGAATAATAAGGGCTCCCTTTTTGGTATTGGGTAGTTTTATAAGGAACCTAAGACCCCAAAAAGGGAAAAAGGGCCCACTGAAAGACTTAGGCCCCTGAACTCTAAACCCTAAACCCTAAACCCGAAACCCTAAACCCTAAACCCTAAACCTGGGGCAGCCTGTGAACTCTTCCGACGCAGCGGCAGCTGCCTTGATCGAGTCCTGTTTCGCCGCGCAAGCGCTTTTGGGCACGTGGGTTTTGCAGGGCTTCAGGGTTTTCAGGGTTTCTTGGGTTTTAGGGTTTGCAGGGCTTCAGGGTTTTCTGGGTTTTCTGGGGTTTTAGGGCTTGAGGGTTTTAGGTGTTTTTTGGGTTTTTGGGGTCTTGGGAGGGCCTAGGGTTTAGGGTTACACAAGTGTAGGGCTTCAGGGCTCTAGGTAAGCCCCCCTAACCCCCCCCCCCCCTAAAGTCTTAAAAGTTCAGGGCTTCCGGGGTCCAGGGAACCCCCACCCCCCCGAAAGTTTAAGTTTTAGGGCTTCAAAGACCAAAAGTTGGGTTTCTAGATCGAACCCCAAGCTCTGAACCCGAAATACCGTCCCAAAGGCCCCTAGGCTCTGAAGGCTCCTCGAGGCAGGTGAGGTGGGCATTTCAATGGCAGGTGGGCTCCATGTTCTTTAGGGTGTGGGGTTTACGGCTTAGTTTTCTACATTAGTCCATTATGATTTGCTTATGCTCTTACAAGGGAGCGCCCCCCCCCTAGTTCTAAGTAAGTATAGATATAAGGACCATAAACTGGACTAAAAGGATCCTAACTTAGGCTATAAGGTCCCTTAACCAAAAAAAGCGAAAATCTAACCCCAGGGTTTTAGGAACTTTGGCTGGGCACATGGGATCCCCCCCCCCCCCCGGGGCAATGCGGGCATTTTCCGCTGCAGCCTCCGGGGCGGCCCTCAGAAATTGGCAGGGCCGGCGCGGATGCTTCGGACAGCTTGGTATAAGGCCAGCTCGTTCAAGTCGGGTTCTCTTGCCGTGCCTTCTATTCGGGAGACCCCAAAAGGACAAACTTAGAGAGCCCCTCATAACAGGCCTCATATTTAGGGCACCCAAAAGAAGAACAACTTAGAGAGCTGGCCATACAGCAGTGAAGGGTCTCTTCAAGTATCTCGAAGGAGAGCCTGCCAGTTCTAAATTGTATTTCGCAAGCGTCTGCCACATGCTCATGTAGGGGCCTGAATAATTTGGAATAGGGTTTGGGGGGGGTAATACAGTATAATTACAAAGGGTTCCTAATGGAATACTAATGGCAGTTATTCCGACCCCTGTATTAGGTTAGAAGCCTTAGGGGCTAGGGTTTGGAGAGTGAAGGGTCTAGGGGATTTCCCTGCATGGTGTTTCTGAGGGATCTGACCCGAAAACTTGTAAAAGATGACATGTTCACACTATGCCACTACCCCCAAAATTCCATGTGCCCGTATATAGCAGATGAACTAAATCCGGCCGAAGAAAACCTTCTGGCACTTTGCGGGCGCAAGTTGTTTTGCTCGGAAGGTACCTCGCACTCTTTCGCCCTGAACCCTAAAACCCTAAGACCGGCCCCGTACCCCTGAACCCTAGAGCCCTAAACCCCAAATCCTAAAGCCTATCTTGGGAGCTCCAGGCTGCTTTACATAAATCTCATGAAGACCCTGTCTTCACATCCTAGGTATCCCCATAGCCCGTCAAGAAAAAGCGGGGCCCTTTTTTTGGCTCCACCAATGGCGGTTCAGGTTTTAGGGTTTAATTAGTGGGTCTATTGGGGGGACGAAACAACTAGGGAAGGGAATGATGCACTGCTATGGCAGGACTTAATGGCTTTGTGTTCTTCTCCGGCAACGCCTGCGAACACCAGCAAGACGGACTTAACTTGCGTCCGCGGTGGGAAGGTGTTCATGAAAAGTAGAAATTGCACTGGCGACGAGTGCTGCGGCGGGTATTGCTATTTCCCGGCCGCACACCCGGCTTCCGCGGCACTGC